ACACAAACAACATAAATTACACAAGGAATATTATAATGAATTGAAATTGGCGTTATATCAAAGATTCACTTTTAAAACTAACATTTTATTAAAGAAAAAGATAAATTAATAAAAGTTTGTCTTTTGCGGTGCACATAAATGGAGATATATATAAAGAGCAGATGAGATTAATTAAAATTTTTAGACAAATTATTTGAGAGACAATTTTTTCCAGTTATTTGGTAAAATTTCTTGAATCAAATATGAATTAATTTTAAACAATACAGCAGTAAAGTAATATCAACATTTTGGTTATACAGTCAAACCTCTCTATAAAGAAGTCGTTGGTGCCTGCAAAAAACTTCGTTATAGAGAGATCTTCGTTATAGAGTTCTTCTTTTTTATAATTTATTATTTTATTTAACTTGAAAAAGTTTGTTCTTTTTGCTTGTTTGGACATTTTAACTTTTTCCTTGTCAAGAAACATTTCCAACATGTTATTAGACTTAAAAATTCCTCTCCAGTCGTGACCCAAAAATGTGCTCTTCCCTATTATAAACCGAATAACATATCCACAAGCTCATATCGAGTATGACACAGCTTGTATATTCGTTATAGAGAAGTTGATTTGTATGCAAAAATTTGATTGCGTACTTGAAAAAAATTCATTATGGAGAGGAATTCACTATAGAGGTTTACTATAGAGAGGTTCAAATATATGAAAAAATTTGAAAAATCGTTGTGTATTCAACAAAATTTCGTTAGACAGAGGAATTCGTTATAGGAAGGTTCGCTACATAGAGGTTGGACTGTACATTATAACAATAATACCATAAAATATCGACAAGTTCCAAGTTATATATAAAGTGAATATATAATTGAGTATATATAATTGGGTTCATTAATATTAATTTCTTTTTCCGAAAGTGTCGCCTCTTATAACGAAAAGAAACATTTGCAAACTTAGAAGGGTTCGAATAGAAATAAAAAGACAACAGCAAAAATTTTAGTTAATTTATTGAAATTTGGCTGGCCACACAACGCTGTTTCAAGTATTGCCAAGTACTCATTATCAATGGTCTTAGGAAATATGCGAATTTTGTAGTCCGCACAAAATTTGTTTGGACTTAGAAACGATGACTAATCGTGTTTTTTCATAAGCCAAGGCTGCACAAATTGTCAATGCTTCCGAATTTTTTTGTCACTTTTTATTTTTTAAGGGTTCATTTAGAATTTTTCTTCTTTAAAAACCAATATTTTATTAACATATTAAAGTCAAGTTTTCCATTGCTTTGAAAATCAGAGGTACTAGTATTAGAAGTATCAATACCAAAACCACCATTTAAATGTTAAAACTTTCTAAAATCTTATGAATTCATTAATTATATAGTTTTTATATAGTTCTGATTTCAATTTCTATTATAAAATTTTTTAACTTTCACAGATAGATATGAACATTCGAAAATTGACTATATATATCCGTTTTCATAACACTTTAGTATATAGTATTATATATATCAAAATCTGTATGAATAATATGCAAAAACTCAATATAAATAATATACATTTATATATGCTCATATATACGTACATACAATAATAAATATGTTCTTTAACAGATACCAACAAACATCTTAAATGTTAAAATATTTCAAGAAAATTAACATTTTACAAAAAACTTTCTAAAACTGATATTTAATTTTAGATACGGAAGTGACGTAGGAGAAGATATTTTTGTGACATGTCATTCAAAGTTTCAGCTCACATACTCAATTAAAAATTTAGCTTGAAATGTTTTCTACATTTCAGAAGCAAAGAAAATTAATTTTAATGATTAAAATTGTGTGTGAAGCGTACGAAACTTTCAGAAAATTAAGGTTTAGTACATTTTTGATGATGCACGAATAATTTATGTAAAATTTTATCTTCAAGATACAGTTAACGCACTTATTTTAATTTTTCGTTATATTTAGAAAATATTTTGATCCTAATTTTTCAAACTTTTTATAAACAAATGCAATATTTTTAGAATTTGCATCTACAGTTTTTCACAGTCCTGAATATGGATGTAGTTTCTTAGCGACATCCATATTCAGGGCATTTTGTAGTAACAAGATTATGATTAGAGAATATATGTTTTATTCAAATATCAATATATCAATATCAGATATCAATTTTAAATATATTATTCGTTAACTGAGAGTGTTATTCGGAATCATGAATATCATATTGATACAGAGTTATTCATCTTACAGCTCTTAATCCATTATCTATAACTTCTCGGCACATAACTGAAATAGCCTGACCAAAACATATGCGTTGAAAGTTTGATTTTTTTTGTTTTTTAAGTTTACTAAAATATATGGAATTTAAAACGTGATATCAAACTTCCTGTAAATTTTTAGCACGGCAATGCCAAAAATTGTGAGGTTCTAACCATGTGTCTTCCATATGAGTATCTGAATTTTATTGACATTGATCTATAAACGAAAGTAATATCTAGGTACGCAGCTTCTATCGGATGATAGATGTTATCGTACTTCTATCGAGTGAAAATAAGACTCAATAAAATAGGTGAAATAGTACTATTTGTCAAGGAAAGTGGACTTAAAGAAATACTATGAATGCATGACAAAGACACAATAGATCTGTAGGTCACGATGCAAAGCCCACAACATAATAATAATAATGTCTTCAACTTGTATTGCTATTATTGTGTTATCATAGCAATCTACACACTTAATATATTTTTTATTTACCTAATTGGTATTAACAGTATATCACTCAATGAAATTTAAAGTAATAAATATAGTTTAAAAAATTAATTTTTATTAAATAAATAAAAACATTGAATAAGGGATCTAAAACACAAATCATTGCTTATAGAGGATTTATATTATAAACTCCTCGCTTGTAAAAAGTTAAGCTAATCTCATTAAAATTTTAAAACAAAAGTAGCTTGAATTGACTTTTACTCTTAAATTCTTTAAATGTTTTTAAAAAGATTTGAAATATATTTTATTTTATCCGCACATGCGCGGAATAATTGAGAACAAAATCGGCCAGCACGTGACTTTTGTTTACAATGTAAACAAAGCATAGATGTAAAAGCTGAAACTGCTAAAAGGGATTCAAAAGGATACAGCAGTAATGCAGCATATTTTTAATGTTCTTCACTCCATAGTAAATGTACGTAAATCGTAAAATCTCAGTCAAGAATGAATGCAAGAATGAAAAATGCAACTGCAACCCAGTTTTGCGTTGCACATGGATTTACTAAGTCCAACTAAAAATGTTCTTGTTTTTTTGTTTCATGGACATGTAATCGCTTCAAATGGTGAATTGCAGTGTTCTTGAAAAATCAAAGAGTTTTTATCTATTTTGCAGTACCTGAAGCATTTACATGAAGGACATCACATTGCTTTGTAAGCCAAAAGATAATAGATATATAAAAAAAGAAAAAAAAAATTATCTCTAAAATGCAAATCTTGTGCTCAATGCAGAGGTTACCTTCTTCCAGCAGTTTTCTAATGTGAAAGCAAAAAACTTTTGATTAGAAAAAATATTTTTGAAGGTAGTTTTTTAGTACGTATAAAATACTGTACTATACCAAAATCCTATTCAAAAGTTTCATTTTATTTAAAACTGTACTCAGCACTACAGGGTATGTGCTTAATTTGTTTATAAATTTTCTGTAAATAGAAAATATATGTCATATGTTATGTATAAATATTTATACATGACTTGGTATAAAATATTATTTTTTTTTCTACTGACCATTTTATTTAAATAAAGAAGTTATGAGTTTTAAATTTTATATAAATTTTTATTTGACTTCATATTAATTATGACAATGGTTTCATATTATTTATACTTCATAATATGTAGAGTACCTATTATTTATTTTAATTTATCTGACATTATTAAATATTCAGATTTACATTTATAGCACAAATCAGCTGTTTTTTGACTCTACATGAATTTTAATCAAAGATATTTAATAAGTAAAACTCAAGTAAATGTGCACTACAAAATAATGACTCACTCTCAAAAACTTTTTGACCTTACTCGATCTTGGGCACGGGAACAGAAAATAGTAAAAATTTTGCTGAGCTACAATTTTAAAGACACTGTACACAACAATGTTGTCAAATTACAAAACGAATTAATTATTGAAATTATTATTGAATTATTGAAAATGTTTTGGAATTTCGTTTTTTTTAAATCAAATGTATATATTTTGTGATAGGTTATACTTGTATAAGTCCCTATAATATTCTAATTGCTTATCTTCGTATTCCTTAAGTGCCAAATAGATTTATGCAGTAATTACCAAACTGTGGAAGCACTTAAAATTAAAATGCAACCCTGCATTTTCATAGCACTTCATAACTAGTTTTATTCGTTAAAACTAGTGAAACTGTTATAGAATGATACAACCATATTAATGTAAACACCATTTAAGTATACACATATAGAGTATGTATAAATACATTTTTTACTAACATATATAAAATGCTATATGATAATGTTGGAGTATTAAAAAAGTGTTTAAAATTTTATCATTAATTCCAACATGAATCTGCATATATATCAAGTACTAAACTAACCGTTTAGATGCGACTTAATTTACTATTAACTTACTTAGTCCTTCAGCTTTTATGACAGAGCTAATTTGCAAGAAAATATTACTTGATTCTAGTTTGACAATTCGAGATTTCTGAGCATGTTACTTCGAAGTTAAAATATTTTGACAGGTAATCGAATTTTTTATACCAGGTCAACTAATCCAAAAATAAATATATTTTTACAAAACTAGTTGCTGAATTTCTGATTATTTGTGCTCTTCAAAATTTTATTATTGAAGCTGATAAAAAAAATTTTTAATAATTTCTTGTGGTCGCATTCACCGAACACACATTTGTTCACATTTCATCGAAGGAAACATATGTTTTTGAAACAAAAACTTTTTGTAAAACCAAATGAAATCAGAAGTGTGGAAATCAATTGAAAAATCTAATATATGGTAAATTTAATATATTTATTACATACAATATATGTTAGCAAACGCAATATATAAAAGAAATTAATATAGTTTTATCACCTTTGCGCAAGATAATATTATAGATAAGCAAAAATATATGTTTAAATAGAAAATTAATTTGGTGTGACCATCTCAAAGCAAATAGCAAGTCAATTGCAAAACCACTATAATAGCTATTTCGATATGACTAAAGCGCGGTGCTGGCTATCATTTTTGAATGTCTCTCAAGTTGCGTTCTCTCTTGTTCAAATATATTCTAGCGACCGAACTTGAATATGCTCACATTCAAAAGTTGTCATTCAATCAAAATTTTTGAAGAATAGGGGTGTTTACTCACGCTGTGTAACCATGCAAAAATGTGCTTTTGAATAACAAATACTAGTTTTTGGGTGACAGACTATCATGCACAATATGTTGGTGAGAAGCTGAATGGTGAGCACGCCAACATGTTGATTGCTTGTCATTCAAAGGTGCAGACTATCATATTTGAGTGTCGTTATTAGATTTTCTTTCTTGAATGATACTAAAAATGCTTAAGACTGAGCGTTGAATCAGTATCAAGAAATCGATTAATCAGAAAATTTCGTCTTCGTCTGTCATTTAACCTGAGTGTTACATATAGTAGATACTATACTTGATATAAGTGAAGATTCTAAATTTATAGAATACATTTTAATAATTTCATTTAAGTATTTTAATTTTAACTCAATAATTCTGTTAAATGTTTGACGCTGCAGAATATTGGTTATAGTCCATTGCATTAACAAAGACCTCTGTACAACAAGAAATCAAGTCACTGGACTTGAAACTAACATCATTGGTATTTTGATCACCCGATAGTTAGTTCTAAAAACTCTGTGTGAACGGAGTTGAGTTGAGTGTCGGTAGAGCTAAAAATATCTTTTTAATAGTTATAAAACTTAGTAATATATAGTAAAAGAGAGTATAAGCTTAACTTAAATGTGTTCATGGATTTTAAAATTGGTAAATGATATACAGATTTAATTATTTATTTACGTTTCTGTTTTAAATTTGCCATCGACACATAATAAAAATAAAAATAAAAAATTGTGTATATCTGTTAATCAGTTTTAGTGCGAAAAAAGTGTAATGTACATTTCAATCAAAATATTATTTTGCTACCATATAAGAGCATATCTATTATTAAAAAGTCTCGAACTTCAGTTTGTTTACTTTTCAGTCGCAAAATCGTTCGATCATTCACGACTCATTTAAGTTGTTACTTCTCTTGAGTAAATAAACAAAAGATTCAGAGACCAATTAGCGATAAAAAAATACATATGGAATTTGAGACTGACAATGCAGTCTGAAGCAAAACAGATAAATTTCTATTCTATTTGTTTATTTTACAAGCAACTCGTAGTAGGATCGAAGGTCTTTAGAGTTTAAATTTATAGTTGGAATTATAATACAATTTCTGCTGATTTTAAAAATTAAAAGCTTGAGAGATTTTATTCCACCTTTTAAATTAAATTTAATTGATTGGTATAACTAAAAAATTTTAAAGAATGAGAAACTAATATGTATCTAGAATTACGGACATACAGTCGATTTACTTGAGTGCTGAGTCGTTGCTATAGATACATTGTCAAATTTAAAACTTTTTAGTCAGATATTTAAAGAAATTTTAAATTTTTATAAAAGTAAAAATTATTAACGTCAAACGTTTCAAATTGTATTTTATTAGCACATAATCTTCCTAAGCCGTACTGAGAATTTTAATCAATTTAACCACAATTTACAGAATTTGGTAAGTATTCGACTTAAAACTTTTTAAAACATTACATTTTTAATTATTTTTGCATTTTAGCTCACTGAAACCAATATGGATGAAGGAAATACATTGATAAATGTTGCACATGTACTTGAAAGTATTTCAAATGAATTGATCATTGAACAAAATAAATACAGTCCAGATTATTCGCAAACTGCTCATCATTGTGTTGCACAGTGGTATTATTATCATCGATCAAAATGGTTCAAGTACGAAAGAAAATTGAATGCACGTATCGAAAAAGCTTACCAAGAGGGTGCAAAACGCATGTACATTACTTCTGGACCTCACCTGGAATATATTGATTTTAAGGCAATGAAGGCTGTATGCGACAGTGCACATATACCAAATGCTTTCTTAAAACGTGAGGAAGTTGCTTCAAAAGCAATTTCACCACTGCCACCGCTATCAAAATTTGTTATACCAGGCTTAGCTATTGCAGTGGCTAATGATATTGTTAACAAATCATTATCGTTCTTGGATAATCGTTTTCCTGATCTTATTGATACCACCAAGGAACGAATTCAAAAAAAACAAAATGCTATTATGACCTCAAGTAAATATTCGGATAGTAAAATGAATTCATCTGGCTTTGATATCAAAAAAAATGGAATTAAGACTATTAAGATCAACAAACCAATTCACGGATCTCTTATCGAACGTGGAGGCAATGAGCTGTATCGACTAACAGACATTTTAGTACGTGCAACTGAAGAGAATTCGATTGCTGTTGGTGCAGAAACAATTGAATTGTTGGAATCCACCAAGAAAGAATTGGAATTATTAAATGAATTAAGTTATTATTCTTTTGTTAAAGAGTAAGTCCATTATGTAAATTTGAACAACTTTTTATATCTCATTTATAATTTTATTTTTCATTTTTACTTAATTCAAAAACAATCTAAAATTGTTTTTAAGTATTTAAAGTTACAACATTTACTACAGTTACAACAATTAAAATATTAATAAACATTAATATAACTTGTTTTTTTATTTATATATTATAAAACCATTTTTATAAGAAGCATTTGCATAATATAGTTAGGGACCCTTTTTCATTGCAAAAAGTGAAATTCCCTAAAACCACATCATCTTTAATGTGATACATCAATGATGAATAGATGGTAGATGTGCATCTATAGGCAGAATACGCAATTTATCATTAACTATCCGTACTGATGGTGCGAGATCTCATTATTTTTTTTTTTATTATTACTTATATTTTTTTCTGAGTAAATAATTATTATTCATGCATATGGTGCGGTATCTCATTACTTATTTCATGAAAATAACCTCTGCTTCTGTTTTACTATTTCCACAAAAAATATTCTTCTACTGCCATGTCATACATCTAATCTGGGCATACATCTTAATTTGGGAAACCATACTGTTTTAGAACACTTGTTTTAATAACTCTTTGATTTCTGTGACAATATAATATGAAACGCAGTTTTCTTAAAAATTCTTTCGATGTATATATACATATATCGGAAAAATAAATCAGGAACTGGTTATTATGATATTTCGTCATTTAGTTTGAACCGATTTTAAGGAAAAGCGTAGAATTTTGTAAGTACTGTTAACAATTAGTCTAAGAAAATATAATAATAAGTCAACACATTATTACAACCACTATGAGTTTTTTCTTGCTGGTTATTTTTGGTGGCAAATTTAAAGTCAGAATATCTACATTTTCTTTTAAATTTAGGCATGACCAAAAAGTACCAAAATATTGTAAAAATACGAAATTGGCAATACTGATGTGATAGTCTACATAACATGCACTTTCGCCATAGACCGAAAGAGCCAAATTTGCCGCGTTGGAGAGGCTTTACAGAACATGGCCCTTACAAATATTTTTGAAGTTCTATATAAAACTTTATAGCACAGCATAGGACTACTCCCTTA